ACTAAAAGGTTAATATGAAGATATAACATGCGAATATACTGTTTAAGTCCTTTTGATACATAATCGGACAACATTTAAGGACAATTACTATAGGTTGGGCAAAAATATTTTTCCAGAGAGTAACACTATGCTTTTAGATAGAGTTAATAGCAAATTTTATATCAAATAGAAACGCGTCAAAAATTGGATTTACTAGTATTAAATAGTAAGGGTTCTGCCAATCTTTTTATATAAAATATAACAAATTTCTAGAAATTAATGATGTTTGATATAAAAAAATTGACAGAACTCTTACCATTTAATACTGATAAATGCCACTTTTGATGCGCTTTCATTCGATATGAAATTTATCATTGATCCTATTTAAAATCACAGCATTACTCTGATAAAAACCCTTTTTAATGCATCCTGTTTCTAGAGATTTGTTATGTTTGAGATAAGAAGTTTTGCAGAATCTTACTATTTAGTACTGGTAAATCCCATTTTTGACGCGTTTCTATTTGATATAAAATTTGCTATTAACTCTATCTAAAAGCATAGTGTTACTCTCTGGAAAAATAATTTTTGCCACCCTGTAGTAATTGTCGTTAAATGTTGTTCGATTATGTATCAAAAGGACTTAAACAGTATATTCGCATGTTATATCTTCATATTAACCTTTTAGTAGTACTTTGAACAGATAAACTTGTACTATTCGAATATATCCAAGAAAACGTTTTTTGGATTGTATTCTCGATGTTTTAGTTGAAAAATACGATTCTCAAGTATTTTGTCGTTGATAGTTAATCAGAAGTGGTATTAAAGAGATAATATTAAATAGTTATCTATAGAGTAAATCAAAATCAGTCGATATTCCTAACAACGTGTTTGACCAAATGAGAGTGTAATAGAAACTTGTTAACATCACAGAATTCTCAAATGTGAATAAATTTTGATTGTGCTTTCAGGTATATCATGTTCTGTTCAAAGTACGACACAAACACGGAGTGTTACTAAACTAGTCTGCACCGGTAACAAAAGTAAAAACAAGACGCTTACTTCATGTTGATCGACATAGGAATCCATTGGATTATAATCTGCGTGATAAAACAGATAGAAAAGAGTAAGATGCTCGCACCAATAATGGTCCGTTTACGACCAAATTTGTCGGCCAATATTCCAGCTATTAGAACTATGAATCCACCAGCTTGCATGGGCGTAGCAAGCAGACTCTTTTTCGGTCTATCTCGACATACTAGACCGATTGCTTCTGTAAATGTGAAACCATAAATACTTCGATCAAAAACCAATCCATTCGGACATTCGATAAGAGACTTATTCATATTCAAAGAGTCGAATAAGTGACATTTATCCCATTTTCCATCCTTCGTTGGAATGTAAAGTTGAAGAAATAATGCATGTGTTCGATTGATAGGAGTATATATGTCATCATTTGGCCATAGTGATGGTGCAAGACGACATCGATGATCGGGCTCAGCTGCACCGAAAACATAATAAAAAGACGCAAGACCAGCCGAAATTTGTATCAAATTAAGAAAGCAATACTGACGCCACTGGAATCGACCGAGCCTTCCACATTTATGAATGACATCGTCCAAAGTTGTCGTTGTTGAAGGGGCTTCTGGTAATGACTGTGGCGTAGACTCCTCTTGGAAATTGCATAGGTTATCAACCAAGGCAGCCATTTCAAAAGTCAGTGCACTCTTATCACTGACAAAGTATTCTTTATTCATCACGCATCTTTTATCATTTCATAGTCTATATTTCAAGATGTCATAGTCCAAACATTGCATCGAGATACGTCAACATTGATAACATATTATAGATGCTATAATATTATTACAGCTAATCTTAACAGCAGCTTTATTCTTTTCATAAACTACCAAACTGGAAGACGATAAACAACTTGTTCAGGGGTGTGGGTGTAGGTGTGAGCTTGAGTCTGTAGTTCTCAGAGACCAACACCCACACCCTAAACAAATAATAATTCAATAAAATAAACTCAAATTAATTTATTTTTGAGTCCATAATATATAGTGAAAATTATTTTTTATTTTTCAAGAATAGATTAGTTTACCATTGATTACCACCGAAATAAGCTAATTTAGATCATCAATAGTACGAAACTCTGAGAGTTTTATCCATACAAATTAATTTAATATTGTTTTATCTAAATCTTGTTTTTCTGTCATCTCTTGAATCTGAAAGCATGCTTGATAGTTAACGCACACTTAACAATGTTATTTCTATGATTAGGACGAAGAGAGTATGGGTGCTGGTCTACTCTTCACAGACATTCACACCCACATCCCACCCTTATACGATATAAACGTGCTAGAATATTTAATTGCAATGACTACTAATCAACGTTTGTTCTGTTTTTCGTTGCTAAACTTAACTTTAGTTGAAAAGCTGCACTTTTCAAAAATCGTACCAGGAGTTCCAAAGATTTCTAAAGAAGACTCAATCCTCTCTGATTCTACCATTGAGCGAAATGGATAAATAAGCTAAATAAATAAATCATCTATCGTCTTCTAGCGTCAAAGATATTCAACTGTATATTTTGACATCTACACTTTTGCCTAAAAAAAACGAAGTTTTGTATTGAAAATTTAGAAAAAATATGGGCGACAAGTGATCTACGTGACTTGTCCGGAGTATTGACCTGACCTGTGTCTGTCTCAGGCAGGCGTAATCGCCTGTTAGAACTAGAGGGTATGGGGTGTGGTGGGTGTGGGTGTGGGTGAATATTCTTTCTATTCATAGCCACACATACACCCACACCCTAATTATGCAATCGATTAAAATGACTCTTTTGCATTGGAAAATCGATTCATCGACACCCATAATAAACAATTTCTGATCCAGTTCATTCAATGGTTTTCATTTCAAAAAATGTCATTCCATTCGGATTCTTATAATTTAAAGTTATTGATAATTAAAGTTAGTAGACCAAGAAGACAAATTCATCATATCGATTAAACTTATGATTAGTATTGAAATGGACAGGAATTTAGTATAACAGGTTCCAATTACATTAGAGTTTTCTTTTCCATGCAAAGAAAATATTTAATTATTGTGTTAAACGAAATGTTTTTTTTGTTTGTAACTAAACACCGCAATTTATTTCTCATTGAGAGTCATCTATTATGCGCTTTAAAATTTGTTAGATTGTAAACTGCATTAGAAATAACTTTAAAAAACTAATATGCTTAGACGATGATTTCATTCTGTTTTAAATATAAATTCTGTTAATTTAAATTGTAAAAACAAAAGTTCTCAATAAGTCTTTTGCACTCTACAATAAAAATTCTTTATTTATATCAAAACTTGTGAAAACTTCAGATGAAATTATACTGAACAATATTTCAGAATATTTATTGGCATGTAGAAATAAATGGCTTAATCATAAATTTCAATTGGCTAAACGATAGATAACTGAAAAATTTAACCTTCTGAATTTATACTTTCATCATTTAGACGAATCTGGGCTTGACAAGTATATAAAATTATTATTTGTTTTGTGTAGCATCCTCAGTATCCTTCATCTTTCGATTTATGACCATATTTTGGATGTATGTCAGAACGATAGAGGATGTGGGTGGGTGTGGCTGTGGGTGTGTGTGTGACCGTGGCTGTGGGTGTGGATGCTGACTCAAACAACATCGGCAGCGACACCCCCANGCAGTTATATTATTCGATATAAAAGCTGCGTTCGACTCTGTCTGGCACGATGGATTAATATATAAATTAAATGAACTACGTCTACCACAATACTTAACCAATTACCTCATCTCTTTTCTACAGAATAGAACTGCGGCAATTGAAATTGAAAACATCCTATCAAGATCATTTAACCTCAACAGCGGTACTCCACAAGGGTCTCCGTTATCACCATTACTTTATATTGTATACACGGCAGATTCGATGAATGGAATACCAGAACATACAGAACATGGTCTATTTGCCGATGACACTGCTCTATGGACATCATCAAACACAATAACAAGCCTTAGTTCTAGGTTACAACAGTCCATAGATGCATTCCAAAGCTGGTGCAACTCATGGAAACTTAAACTACAACCCAGTAAAACTGAACTCGTTCATTTTACTATACATCCACGGAAAAAGTTTAAGAATCCAATATCAGTCAAAATAGATGGTACAATCGTTAAAACATCCAATTCAACAAGATATTTAGGAGTTATCATCGATAAAAGGTTGAATTGGAGAAGTCATCTACATCACATCGAATCGAAGATTGCTGGTCGTATCAGTCTGCTTCGTTTTTTAAATAGAGCAGCTTATGAACCAAATGACAAAATCATGTTAAACATCTTCAAATCAATAGCAAGATCGATTATCATCTATGGTTATCCAATACTGCTTACAGCCAACGACAAAATATGGGAAAGATTACAAATTATGCAAAACAAAGCTATACGTGCTGCTTTAGGATTACCCATATACACATCAGTTGATTACATACATCGTATTACCAACATACCCAAAATTAAAGAATATGCTGTTACATTACTACAACGTTATATACAAACAGCAACATCCAACAACGACAATATGTTAACAAATCATCTACAAGATACATTCGATAAACTGTAAAAACAAATCACCTACCCATGTTATATATTACATATAGCATCGATATTATTGACCATTGTTAAGTCGCCCGAATACATGCAACAATTGTTATATCGGATTCGTCGACTTTAACTTTGCAACTTACACACCATTATTACAACTTCCAACTTTTCACCACTTTCACGAGACATAAGACATTCGTCAAGCGTCTCGCCGTTTCTCTCCAGCCTTCTGTATTATATTTTTGTTTTTTCTTCGTAACATCTTAATAAAAAGGCTTTGACTCCAAAAAAAAAAGTATCCAGTAAAATCGATTTTTTTAAATATTTACACGTCAAGTCTTAAGAAAAAAACATTCATAGTTCTTGAAATTTGATTCCTTGATAGATAACAAAATTGGTTTATTTCTTTTTAGTAAGTCGATGAATTCTATCCTCGGTTCTAACACGACTTGGATGATCAGCAGGAAGGAATTTCACAAAAATAATCAATGCTCGCTGATAGTAATCAAGAGCCATCTTTGTCCTGTTTTGTTTTTCATAACAAACTCCAATAATATTCAAACATTGGCCTATATTCACATGATCGGATAGACAATATTTCTCTCGCATTTTCAGTGCTCGTTGAAGATAGTCAAGAGCTTCATCGTACTTTTCCTGATCGCAGAAAATAGCACCAATATTGTAGAGGCTTCGAGCAATGTCGACATGACCAGATCGATAATATTCCTCTTGCATTTTCAGTGATCGTTGATAGTAGTCGAGAGCATCGCTATACTTTCCTTCATCGTAGAGAATAGTACCAATACTGTTAAGGTTCCGAGCAATGTCCACATGGCCAAACGGATAATATTTCTCTTGTATTTTCAGTGATCGTTGATAGTAGTCAAGAGCTTCATCGTACTTTCCTTGCTTGTCAAGAATAAGACCAATGCTGCTGAGACTTGCAGCAATGTCCATATGACCAGATGGATAATATTTCTCTTGCATTTTTAGTGCTTGTTGATAATGGTTGAGAGCTTCATTGTACTTTCCTTGCTGTTTGAGAATAATTCCAATGTTATAGAGACTCTGAGCAATATCGACGTGACCAGATGGATAACATTTCTCTCGCATTTTTAGCGCTTGTTGATAGTAGTCAAGAGCTTCGTCATACTTGCCTTGATCCGAGAAAATGTTACCAATATCGTTGAGACTTGCAGCAATGTCTACATGACAGGGTGAATAATGTTTCTCCTGTATTTTCAACGCTCGTTGATAGTAATCCAGAGCTGTATCATACCTCTCTTGGTGATAAAGAATCTTACCAATCTTGTTGAGACTTTGAGCAATGTCCAAATGATCAGATGGATAATACTTCTCTTGAATTTTCAGTAATTGTTGATAGTAATCGAGAGCTTCACCGTATTTTTCTTGTTCGAAAAGAAGACCACCAATGTTGTTGAGACTTTGGACAATAGCGACATGACCAGACAGATAATATTTCTCTCGAATTTTTAGTGCTCGTTGATAGTAATTTAGAGCCTCATCGCATTTTGCTTGATCGGACAGAATATGACCAATGTTGTTGAGGCTTTGAGCAATGTCGCCATGACCTGATGGATAATGTTCCTCTTGCATTTCCAATGCTCGTTGATAATATTTAAGGGCTTCATCGTATTTTCCTTGTCCTCGCAGAATGATGCCAATTTTGTTGTGGCTTGCAGCAATGCTGACATGACCAGATGGATGACTTTTCTCCTTAATATCCAGCGCTTGCTTATAAAAGTCAAGAGCTTCATTGTACTTTCTTTGCACAGAAAGGATGTTGCCAATGTTGTTGAAGCTTGTTGCGATGCTAATAGAACCAGGAAGATAACATTTCTCCTTAATATCTAGTGCTCGCTTATAAAAGTCGAGAGCTTCATCGTACTTTTCTTGATTCTCAAGAATAAGACCAATGGCGTCGAGCACATGCGCAGAATCTCTGACTCGTGCTGGTTTATTCTTTATCATTCGATCGTATGCACAATCAAAATGTTCTCTCGCTTCTTTCCATTCACCTTTAAAACGTAGAGCTCGACCAATATTAAATTCAATCCAAGCAAGATCTTCACCATTTGGATCATTCAATAATTGTTCAAAGTATTTTTGCGATTTATCATATTGTCTTAAATTACACATTAATCTTCCAAATACAATCGAAACGGTTTTTTCTTCTGTTTCTCTTTGTGTTAGTTCAATATAATCTTTCGTTATTATTTCACCTGCATTTGATACTTTCATTCTAATTAATTCAAGTGATTCATCTTGTTCAATAGATTCAATTTTAAAACAAGCATTTAAATCGAATAAAACGTCTTTGTCATTTGGATATTGACTAAATTGAGCAATATCAGCAAAAATAACACTGTTTCCAATTTGTTTAATGTTACATTCAATTTGAAAGAGAACAGAAATAACATCTGTTCGTTTTGTTGGCTTCATTGCAAAAATGCATGCTTGTGATCGAAGACGACTTGTTGATAAATATCCATTAGTTGAAATGAGTTTTCCTTGATTTTCTTTTAGTTTATCAAATTCTTCTTTATCAAGTTTTCCTCCTCGATAAACAGTGAAAATTTCTTCATTTGATGATAAAATCTTTTTATGTTCACGTCGAAGACTTTCCGAAAGATCAATAATGAAGTATCGAAATGTATATAACATATCAATATCTTCACTTCTCAATGCTTTATTACTTAATTTATAAACAAATGATTCTTTTGCATACCAATAAATTGCTTCTTCCGATTGATATTCACGTTCAAATTGACTGATCAATTTAAGTTCTTTTGTATTACCATGATAATATTGTCTACACATTTCAATCATTTCTTGTTTTGCTTGTTCAATTCGTGGAAAACGAGCCATAACATAATTGAAAAGTTGAAACCAAATAAATTCACCTGACTCTTTTGATAAATCTTTAGTTGGTTTTTGATTTTGATCAAAAAAACTAAATGTTTGTAATTGATTATCAACCAGGTCAATCTGTTCTTGAAGTGCTTTACATAATTCATCAAGATCAGTATAAATACCAATTATTTTTGAATATTCATTTATTAAATGCTCATGTTGTTGTTTTTTCATAGAATAAATAAAAATAGAGTCGACTTGACGAAGACAAGAAACATGAGGTAAAAGTTGTGATGCTTTTGATTCAGATATAATTAAAAAGATTTTTTCTCTATTAATCGATTTAATAAATTTAATACATTGATCAAGATCTGTATAAAATTTGACATAATCATTGATAAGACGAAGCCGTTGTGTTGTTTGCTCAATATCTCGACGTGATTTAATATTTGGATCAAACCAAAGAAGTGTTGTACTTTCTTTATTTTCATTTTCATTAATATCGATATATTCTTCAGTAGTGACAGACACCTTTGTAATTTTTGAAGTTACTGATTTATTTCCCATAAGAATTTGAAATAAACTTCCTATTTTCTGATGAATTTGAGTGTGAAAGCGACAAAAAGTATCCAAAAAAAGAATAATGAATGAAACATGTGAGAATTTTTTTTCATATAAACAGAGCAACCAAAATTTCATTTTTTTCTTCCTCCCAGTTAAAATAAAACATTTTTCTTTCTTTCGTATATATTATCGCTCGATGAGTTTTTCTTTCTGTTCTTTCAATACTGATAATAGCGTATTTCTTTTACAAAAAAAAATGCAATTAGAGACTTTCGCGTTTCGTTTCTTCATTTGCCTCGATTTTCTTGATGACGTAAAACATGAAGGTGTGGGTGCGGATATATTTTATGAGAAGATCAATATTCACACCGTACACTCCTACCCCCATCCCCACCCATTTTAAGATCTAATTGGGTTTGTTCCATTTCACATTTGGAACATTCGTCGACAATTATTATAGAATTTCGTTCTGTGATCAAACAAACGAGATCGTTGTCAATTTTACGTCTTTTACTAATCATTACATTGTGATAGAGCATTTCTTTTTTTATTCATCCTTCCATATCATCCATCACCCTTACTATACTGAAAGAAACTTAACTTTTCCAGTTTCACTGTACTCTATGTTTTATTTTCGATTTAGAGAATACTTTTATCAGACAATGAGTCGTTACTGACGAGAGATTGTTTTTCAGCATTTTTCTCTACCAGAATTCATCTTTGTTGTGATTAGTGAATAAAAGTGTCATGATAAAGAAATAGGAAAGTCGTTAGTTAACTGTGATACTTTTTTAAACAAACATCGCTGTTCGAATTGGCCATCCCTATTGTCATTAAGCATGACCATTCTTCAGTGCTAGAACAATTCCTCGTGGGTGCGTGGATGTGGATATCGGTTTAAATGCGGACCTTTTATGTTCCCTCACTCGCGTCAACACCTACACGTGCACCCTCGTTCACACATCAGACCTATCTACACCAGCACATTCCGCAAAGTACGAGAATCTCGAAAAACGCGTGTAATCATCTTAATCACAGTTCCTGTTTGAGTACTTCCATGTTCACTCAAAAAACATCAAAACTATCTACTTCCATCATAAAAATTGCGTGGGTGTGAGTATGGATGTAGGTGCTGCGGACGAAAAGAACTACGCCATACCCTTGTAAGTTTGTTTTTTTACAAGTTTTTATTAATTGTCGTTTACGACTTCAATCTCCCCAAGCAGTTATAAATGAACTTACTAAGTATTGTCAAAATCTAGGCTTATTCATCTGACAAAGCCGTATGGTGATATACATGACAATCGTTCTTCTTCACGACTCTTGATGCAGTCCTACGCACCGAAAATATTAAGGGTGTAGATCTGAATGTTGATGAAGAACTGAATCTGTTCAATACCCTCACCCACACCCAAAAGGATCGACTGAATGGAAATTTTTTCTGTGACTGGTAGGCATCGAAAGCCTTGTGCCTGTATATTTCAGTCTGCTGATGATGATCTTCCCGAACAAGCAAATTGTTTCTGTCTTGAACATGCAATAAGAACCTTACAAAGTTGATTTCTCCCAGCGAAAGCGATCAATCACATTGAAACTGTAAAACAGAGGCATATCATTGCCCCCTTAATACGACTACCATCTCATCTGATGCTGAGATATTGAGTCTTTTTTATCACTCCGCATGGCATAAGGGTGTGGGTATGGTGAAAGATCCTTTGTTCTCTGACACCCACACGCATAGATTGTGAGTGTATGAATTTTTTCAAATGAAATTTGAAAATTGTCGATGACATTTGGTGTAGCTTCCGATGGCATTCTAGAAAACGAGACATCATTAAAACAGTGAAATATTTTTTGGCGGAGCTCAGAAAAGGGATAATTTTTTTTGCAAACTTCGATTGAAATTTTTCTTCGATAGAAACTCATCCTGTCAGTCAAATATCAATGCCCATAATTTTTCACTTGGGACCCATGCTCTCAAGTGGAAATCCATGATACTGGAAAGTCCTGGTTCCACCACTAACTCTCACCCACAGCCACAGACATACCCATAGGCACATCCACCCCCTTCGTTTTTTTTCGAGGATTTTCTCAAAATCATTGTGAGAGAAATCAAAAGTATTGATGCCTAAGGTCAAGAAAGCAAAAAAAACAACTTCTTACCAACCAATAAAACCGTTAAATGGTACTTTTTAAAATTCATTGACTTTTTTCATCGTATGTATCGTAATAAGATCAGGTTCTGAATAGAATTGTATGTGATTTACGTCATAAAACATCCAAATTTTATTCAATGAATAACTGCTTCTGAGTGTCATACACATGAAAAGATGAAAATGTTCTTCGGATGTTTGAGTTGATGCTGGAGTGTGTATTTAGATTAAACTAGAAAGATGTTTATGGAAAAGAAAATAAATCTTGTACTTTATTAATAAATAATGTTGTGCATTTGAATAAAATAGTGTTTCGAGATTTTTTCTAATTTTAATGATTCTTGAATTTCAAAAGCCAAACAACAGTTGTAGCTGACGAGTGATCATATCTGATCGAGATATTCTATATTTAATTCTTTTGCGAAAAGTACACTCATATCGTAGAACATGTTTCGTAGCTTTGATGCTAGACTGACTTACTCTCGAAAAAGATGGAATGATGCAATGGCAGCAATTATCAATATGAAAGTTTCTACAATATTACTTGTGCACCGGAGTATATCGTAAACTTCAGGTGCTTTGTGCAATATCCTGAAACAAGTCAACATCATTCAATGGAAATTTTGTAAGAACAATACTTAAACAAAGCAATTAGCTAAAGAAATTAGACATGTGTACGGTGAGCAGCATTAGCAGAGAAGAAAGAATTCCTTTTATCTAATACATAGATATTTCAAACAACAATATAGTACTTCAATTTATTTCGTTGTTTTTTTATGTAATGACGCAACCAATACTATACTCTTATTTTGTCTTATTTCCTCTTGCTCTACTCTATCATCGTTTTATACGCCATATAGAAAAAGAAAAAAAACTGTCAGATAATCAAGGCCAATTTTTATGTACCCCGTCTTCATTTTATTTTATTCATGATACTTCTGTTTCTCACACAATTCTGTTATATCCATCAATTTATGAACGACTCATGGCACAATTTTGACGAGCTGGAATGTAGATTTTGGAGCTCATACTATTTATAAAAGCTTTTGTTTTTCTTGCTGGGGAAATTAAGTTGAAAATTGTATGTTACATTATGCGACAAGCTGTGTATTATTACGATTAAACAAATACGTTGATTTAATTTTTGAGTAGCATCATGTTTTATTCATTTCTTAATGAAAGATGTCAAGAAAAACAAATGAGTTAATATTTGATGCTTGTTGATTATCTGATCATTTTCTTTTTGCGAAATATACAGTCAGGGAAATTATAGGCTGCAATTTGAGGCAATCAATTATGAGAAACTTTCAAAGTAATTTTAAATAAGGAAATGATCATGGCTAGGAATTTTATATAGAGTGTATTTGCGTAATTTGTTAAAAAAACTTATTTGGAGCAGAAGATTCGAGTACAACACTTGAAAATATGATTTTCTTGATACCATCCTAATTCAGCATCGATAAAACCGAAAAATCTACACATGTCCATGAATATCACATCACGATAAAGAATTTTATTTTGACAATGACGTAGTCTTGGCGTGCTTCTATCTTTAGTGATGTATGGAGATTAAACACTGATGGCATTTGACATTTTCCCCGGTTCCCCTGAAAATTTCTCATGCAGAAGTGTTTCACATCTTTTTCCTTTACACTTTTTTAACATCGTCCATTTAAGTAAACATTCTGAATCAAAGCAATTTTACGGATATTCCTCTTCTTTGAAGATATGATGGAAACTCAGCTGGGCTCCGATTCGACCTATATTTCCTATAATACCTATATTTGTTCAAAAATCCTATATTTTGTCCTATATTTCATCGAGAAAAGTAGAACAAGACCAAAAATCTGTAAGTTTTGCTATAGTCTCCAAGTGTTAAATAACAAAGTTAGTGTGTGGTCATATGTTTTGATCACGTTTGTGTATTATGCCGATATCTGTTTTAAACAAGTAGTATTTTTCATTTCGTCTACTTAATGGAATGACTGAGAAAGTTTTTAACTTAATATTATAAATATGCAACAATCTAAATGGGAAAAAAACGTTTACAAAATGATCATGTACTACTTCAGACCTTTTATTGCAGATTTACATATGTGCATCATACTTGTACATTTCCATCTTTATGGTGAATACTAATATATATATAGCATGTATAAAGTTCTGTATTTCAAAAGGGTGTAGTTTTCAGTATGTACATAGAAGAGAAATACAGACATTTAGACTCGCATCCTGCACTTACATTCTCAATTTAACAAAACAAGGATATGGAGCAGAAACAGTGAATAATAAGTCTTATACTTCTGCCACTTTTTGTCAAAAATCCTATATATTTTAGATAAACATGATCCTTTAAGAATTTTTTTAAAACTTGTAATCATAAGTCAGAAATTCTTCTCATTTGTCAATTATTGTTTCTCTCGCTGTAAAGGTAATCATCTGTGTGAAAATACATGAATCAATAATCAGAGCAGATGTTTGTTCATGCATGTTGAGCAATGCGCGTAAATAGAGATCCATTGATTCATGACAACGGATGACGTGCTTGTTTTGCATTAATTTCGATAAAAAAAGAAACGTACTCTTGTCATAGAAATTTAAGAAGATGCTTGAGAGACGGTTTGCTTATCACACAGAATCCTATCCAAAAAAAACTCGTCATCCACTTCTCCAAGCGTCGGTACATGATCAACATTGTTGCTTTAAAAAATCTCCTATAAACTCTTGCAGACTTTACATTACATAGTAAGAAAATAATTCATCGACATGTACAACTGCTATATAAACACAAATATATACTCGTTGAAAGTATTATGGTGTGACCATAATTGACATGCACGATATTTATGT